ACATCTTACTTTTCTGATACCAGTTAGCTAATGTTAATTTCAAAACTCTTAAATAAATAACCTCTTTCTACTGAAGGTGTATGTTTATATATATAGTCCCCGAAAGACGGAAAGAAATTCAGGTCAAGGGTCACTCTTATCAGGGAATGTTTGTGTCCAGTCCAGATCACTCGGTCATTTTTGGGTTGACATGAGGTAAATATACAACTAGCCCATTGAAATCCATTTGTAAAGTCTGTGTCAATAGAAACAAGTATAGTGGCTTCTTAAACTGTGACCTACTTAAACCCATCTCTCAAGATTCTTGTTTTCATCAATGAGTATGCAGATAATTTAGTTATGGCAAGTAAAGCACATCAACAGTTTCAAATGTAATGGACAAGTTAGATAATTTAATCATTAGTCTAAGCGAGCAGGTTTTTTTTCTCAAGATACTTGTTTTCATGAATGGAAACCTTTTAAATTAACCTTAGAGAGTGAATTCTCTAACACTCGAAACGGTGTTTACTGTAAAGTCGAAACCCTCCTTCTCTATCAAGATTCATAAATCTCTATGCAATGGGATGTATTTTACATACGAGTGATATCAGCACAAATCTCATCTCATCCCTCCCACACATCTACACCTTTTTTCCGTACAAAATCCACTTGAAGGGTCACAAATTATTCATATAGCACTGCCATTTCGACATTCTGTTGATTTCATCTCATTGCAATAACAGGAGTATTTGTTATCAGCCATTTTTCATAGCTACTTATGGGTGCCTGCAGTTGCAATATACAGATCCCAGGGATAACTCTGACACTTAAAGTGATGAGGTACTTTACTCTCACATCCTTCCTCCTTTCCGAAGAGTTCTAAAGCAAACATGTGAAATATCTGTTTGATTGGTTATTTGGACATTTTTAAGTCAGTGATGACACATTTGAAAGATACATCAGGACATACCGATACCACTCACTAGTCAGATTATATTCCGTCTTTGCGTATTGCAGAGTTATCTTCTCTTGGGAGCAGGTATTGATTGTTACGTCATTGGTTTGTGTGAGAAAATGACGTTGTTTTCTCAAAAATTGATAACGTTACTCTCATAAACAAATGACGTAACAATCAATACCTGCTCCCAAGAGAAGATAACTCTGCAATACGCAAAGACTGAATTACAAGCTCAAAATGAAACATTTTTAAGGGAGATAACTCTGACACAAATCACAGGTTTATAGTATAAAGTAGCATATTACCTTAACGATTCCATGGAAACAATGGATACAGTAACATGAAAGCATCATCACTCTTCATCAAAGTTTTATAAACTTTTTGAATATTAAACTATATTTCAATTCCTTTCACATAGACAATTAATGTTTATTTAGGACTTATTTCATCTGACAAATTATCTAATATAATGAATTATTAAAACATTTGATCCGCTTTAAATATTAAAGGCTTTCTCAAATAGAATGTATGAATGAGTTTAATATGAATGAGTTAATATCTCATTTAGAAAAGTAATAAATTCCTGGCTTGAACGCATTTAGATTGATAAAAACAATAAAAATGTAATGGCTGAATGATAAATTAAATTTTCAGTGTAATAACTTGTGGAGAAGCTTAAACTATCGTGTCAATATATGCTACATAATCTACCAAGAAGGATAAACAGGGGCTTAGAATATTTACATATATCTCAGACAAATTTTGAAATAAAGCAGAATGTTTGTACAAGTTGTAACAATTAGTCAGAGCTCTGACAGGGTTAACAAGATATCTGACCTTTGTCAAATCACATAATTACCCTGCTGGAGATTTGATTGGTTGCTAGTGATGTCTGTCACCATGGGTAGCCCTGACAATGAGTTTCTGTTTAGTTTTTTGTCAAAGAGATGACAAGTTGGAACTGTATATTTTGTTTTACATGAAGCAGATGGCGGCTGATAACATGTCATGGCTGATGTGAGTCTGAACCAGACACGATACTTGTAAGTCCGGCCTGATACTGATACTCAACTCAAACCTGTTACTTCCAACTCCATTGCAACTAAATAATTTTCAAGCATCAAAGTTTGTAACACTTTTAAACCTGATAATAAAGATAAGGATAACTGAGAATCGTAGTCTGTTGCTTCGTGATAAACTATCTATATTCTAGATTTCTATGTTCATCCTAAACAAAATATCCTGATCCCTCCCATTCCCTAAACATGTACTTTTAAGAAAAACATCTTTGGGAAAATATCTAGAGCAGTCTTAAAACCTGCTGGAAGGACACCCAACAAACCTTTAGTCCAAACAACATGGCACATGGGCTCCATTGACAGCCGAAGATAAGGTATCACAGTGGAAATCTACAGTAATTAATTCTTGAACCTTGAATGTGGCATTTTTTCACTCCTCGACTTTAAAATAACCGTGTCTGACATTAATGTTGCTTCTGGTGTAGAGTTGTATGTGACCCTCGATAAGATTGTCTCCCTTTAATGCCAATTAAAAGCCCCTTCCCAGTTCTTAATTGACCCTTAAAACCAGTGATCCTTTCACCCCATAAAGATGTCCCTTTCCAATCAGGGTCATTCACCCTTCTTCCTCTTATAATTGACCTCAAAATAAGGTAAACAACATCACTCCAACTCCTGTTTCACGACTTGTGTTCATGTTGGCCATCACTTTCCCAGCGGACAATCCAGTTCTGATCCTTCAGAGTGGACTCCCCTGCTGTACAGCCTAATGGCAGTATGCTCTCTCCCCCACATCAACATTAGTAGCCAATAAAATACAGTGAAATCCCACTAATTAGCAGTAACTTTGGACTCCAGCCCCAAAAGGATCCCTCAATTAATGTTGACTATTTTGTACAGTAAATTATAATGATACTGGTCCTAACATTTATATTAGCAGCCCTTACCACCCACTACATGGCCCCTAAGTAATGTCTCCCTTCCCCAACAATTACCCTTTTACAAAAAATAACCCCTGCCCAGCCCTGTAATGACCCCTAAAGTTATAAAGCCTGGCGTTTGCTCCCTCCCTTCCCTATACTGTGCTGAAGTCCTACACAGCCGAGGAGCTGGCAAAGAAGCCATAAATTACACATTAACAGACTAGGCATGCCACATAAAATTGTCACAGGCCTACCCCCACCCTTCAGGACTATTACGGGTCAGTTCAGGTGAAATTATATGCATCGAAGGTCCACCAGCTTATCTCCTTGTATTTTATTACCTGAAATCGGTCTACAGTGGACTTGTTACTTGTTAAAGATAATCTGTTTTATAGCTTGTTTCCTTGCCATAAACTACTTCCCTGGAGAATGACAAGTTCTGTAACTCCCCATCTTCCTGCAATGGGGCACTAATACACCGTGCAGTACTGTTTTAATGATCCTGAACCTGTTAATTTAAATTCAATTTCCAGAAATTTATCTTCTAAATAGAAATGAAATGGGAGGTATTATCCGAATTTCTTTACACTTGACTGTGTTTTATGTCTCTTACACACACCTTCAACTCGCAAATGATCACACGCTCACACAGTAGTCGTGACTTACGACTCCCGTTTCGACAATTTACCAGGTATTTTTGTAACACACATGTTAACAAGGATAGCATATGACTACGACATACAGGTTTGTGGGCTAAATGTATCACCACCTCGCCCAGCTGCACTAAATGGCTGCTCTGCGGCACAGATGCCTCATCCCAACAATCCATCATTCCGTCAAAATGGCTGAATGTTGTCATGGTTATTGCTCAACTGTAGCCATTTTGTTTAACACTTCAAACTTCTAATTGGTCCCTTGTTACACACTATTTTGCAAACGCTAAACATCTTAAATATACAAACACAATACATTTTTGAACAATCAAAAGTTGGGTGGGATTCGATTCACAAATTACGCATAATATATAAAATGTACCGTAGATGTCTATAAAATATGGCATAAATGGATAATCACAACTGTGTCAACCAACCCGCTACCCTCCTTGTAAATGTCATCTGGTGGAAATATATTTTTCATTTTTTTTCACACATCTCCATTTTTTTCAGAAATCTAGGATTCTAAATCTACTATTTTCACAAAAGAAATAAAAGGAAATCGTAACTGCTTTCTAATTTATACAGCAGAAGTTTGAAGAATACCCACAAGAGGTTCTCAGAAGTCTTACGTCATAGTAAATATTCGGCTGACATGTGTTTGTGTAGCCTGTAGATCCTTAGATTGACAAGTGCATGGCATTACATGCCAATCTTTTACCTATAACCTGCATTTCAACCATAGTGTATGCAATAAACGCCCTTTTAAATTAAATTAAATTAGTAACTCGAGTGAAATCATACAATCAATTATCATCATTTGATGCCATCAGCTATTCAATGCTTACACTGACAGGAACTATACCAGTAGCTGGGTAAAGCAGTGTGAGGTATTTATATATTGACAGGGGGCGGGGTGCTTATCACTTGGTATACAGTGTAATATTGATGGAGTCGTCACACGGTAATGATTATGTAGTTTCATTGTAAAGACAGAGGTAAAATGTAAGAACTTCTAAGGATTTACTTATATTGTTAAGGTACCAAATGATCCTGATTATATAGTCCGCACCATACTCTCGCTGAATTGGTACAGATCATTACAATAATATTGACTGTAACGACAGGAATTCTGCTTTCCTTGTAGTGGGAGGAATATTTAAGGGGAATATCGAGGGGAGTGTCGGTCTTCATTAACGATTCAGCATGGTGAGCAAATTAAAAAGCATGCCCCGAATATCTTACATACAGATGGTCTATATCCCAGGTCGTGAATCGATCCACACAGCAACACTATAGAGAAACAGTCAATTATACTGGTCTCGTTTGATTCCCCTACGTCAATACCTTTAGCCTATATGTTGTCAAATCCATGTCAGAAGTCTCCTCTTGGTGGACAGGGCAGTTATGCAAGAATATTCCACTTTGTTTTTAAATATTTTTAATACAGGAAGATTGTGGTACTTACTGACAACGATCACTGTGTAGTTGACATGGATACTGCCGAAGCCATTCACTGCTTTACACATATAGCTTCCACCGTCTTCTAAAATGATATCCCGAATCCTTAGGGAGCCATCCCGCAGGACGTGGTACCTATCCCACAATATATTAATATCCTGTCCGTCCTTCAACCACTGAATCATGGGAGCAGGTTCTCCCTCTACCGGACACTTGATCTTCTTGGTCTGTTTTACCTTGAGACGGTAACGAAGATGGGCTTTTTCTTTTAGCCGCGGTGGACCTGAAAAAATATCAAATCTTACAGTAAGTGACAATAGCATGAAAATTTTAAAAAAATAAAAAAGCAATTAAAAAGAATACGTAAGAAATTCATTTCTATTTATTCAAGGAATATGTTAATGGTTTTTTTTGTTATTTTACTTTGATTAAGCACAGTATGTTCTATGCTGATAATAAGCAACACATTGTACAATGCTAAAGAGCAGTATATTCTGTCTAGATATATTACTATGCTACCGTGTTAACTATTTTTCACTTGATATTGCTAAGATGATTACTACAGGGAAGTCTAAGACACGGATGCTTATCATACGTCATGTGTATCGTATCAATTATTGATGAACTAAGGTTTTATTAGCAATGTTTATTTTATTAACAAGCTTTTATTTCATCCCATGTTCATCACGAATCCTGATGATAGGGAAGTCTGTATAACAACGACACGTGGGCTAACTGAAGACAATCGTGCATTGTTATGAAGCACAATTAATACTACTGTAAACCACTTCTGTCGTAATTTATATTACAGCGTGTAGCTTTAAGACGTTTCACTGTCAGCAGCGAGCACAAGTAAAAACTAACAACAACTTGATGACATTTCCATGTAAAAGACAAATTAAGTGTTTCAAGTTTTTTCTTCCAAATGCGTATAAGAGTGATAACTACTCTGTCAAACCAAAACATACCGACCACAATTCTGGCCAATTTTTTTTGTTCTGGAGTGTTGACGACCGGAGCCAAACATTCTGTCATATAAAATAATAAGATGGTTGATTTATGTAAGTGTCCCTGTTAACTGAGTGACTCAGTGATGGGGCTGGTGAGGAGAGGCGGAGAAGGAGAGCCCAAGTACCTAGAAGTAATGTAGGAGGATCTCCTTAACAACCCCCATACGAACCACTCCACTAAAAACACAATCCAGATTTACACATTTATTTTTCTCATATTTTGTCTTGTTGTTCCGCTCCCTGTATCCGATGTCCGAGCATAAATGTTTCCCCATTCCCCTGTCTCTAACTCAAACAGTCTGTCTGATAGACATGTCTTAATTTATTCCAGGTCCTGTCGTTTCTTGATTTATTTGGTCCCATAAATTAATTAGTCTCAGATGAAATGATTTCTTAATAAATTTCATGTTCAGATTTCAAAATTTGGTATACATCATCATAGGATAAGAAATCTTGCTACATTATTTGTTTCAAATGTTTTTTCAATTTTTAAAATTAAATCTGTTTTATTTTTTTAGGCTAACGTTTTCACCAAACTTACACAATTTTACATGAGAAATGTTCACGTTAACCGAACGTTCATGTTAACCAAACTTAAAATCACAAGTCTAAGAAAGCTTCATTAACCGAAGGACTGGAACAAAATCTCGACATTGAGTCTGGAATTGTAGGAAAAACATTCCAAGTAAGGCATCAGCTACATGAGGAGTTCACATGGAACGAATCTGAAATTCATATTCAAATTATAGTGGAATACCATAAGTTTATACACTACTAATTGATACCATGTGTTGAAAATAAACAAACTCTAATATAAAGACTCTGGGCCTATCATCAGCATCAAGTCTACACAACGTTTGAGTTATCGTTAAGTTATCGCTACCATTTCTCACTTTTAAACATACCAATTGTTCTTTAAATGAAATTTGTTTTATTGCAAAGTAACATCAGCATTACCTAAAGGTACTGCCAGTAGTTTAAAATGGAGTAATTCCTTATCAGTTATTCACCAGTGCAGAGAACCCCATTTGACCTCTGACCCTGTCCTATTGCAATATGGGAATGATTACCTAAAGTGGCCGGCAAATTAAATTTGACTCCCTTGGGTATCATCTAATGTATTTACTGGTCTCGGCTGGGAAATTTTGTCTACCATTTCTAGCCAAACACTTGGCATCCTGTGTACTTTCTCCAAGGCAATATCCTATCTGGCTAAATTACAGTTTTAGGAATACTATCTGGTGTTTCTGGTACCACCATTTCTATATACAGCAGAACGCAGTCTCCAAGATGTTGCTAATAAAAGTTAATTTTTAACCTCAGATATGTTGAAAATATTTTTTTCTTTCAAATTTAAAATTCTATAAAGTGGATGTCTTCATTGACAAACATAACACCCCTACATTAGAAGTATACAAGCTTCATTACAGACAGATCAATGTACACGGAGGTGGGACATATCGGGTTGGGCATCATTTAACTATAGATTAAATGTTTCTGAAAGGACCTACATGCATGCATACCGAATCCTTGAGGTAATTAAATTAACCCTTCCTTAACAATGTAATCAGGAGAAACAGAACATGACCTGTTGTTGTCATGTGAGAAATAGATCATACAAAAGCTCCATAACATGCTACGCTTTGTGTTAGATGTAGGCATGATATCAGTTTCAGCAAAACAACACACTCAGATGAACTCGAAACCAGAATAAAACTGTACCGATAAGGACTTACCAAAATCAATTATTTGAGGGAGGAGTACTTATCTCTCTTGACAATTGAATCTACTGTTGTGTGGGGCCCACTGAGTGGAAAACCTACCTACATGTACACAATGGAACGACCATTACACGACCGAGTCCAACTAACCGGGTGCCCACCCCAGCAGTAATCTCTGTCAGGGTGGATACAGATCACAGATTAGACTATCCATTATCATGTGTTACGCTTATCCAAAAAACCTGTTCTAAAACAAGTCATTACACAAAGAGTGGAGCTGTGCACGCCTCATTAGTCAGCTACGGGTGCCTACTGTAACAAACCTCCAAAAGGTTTATGGGTTTTACGGGTAGTTTGGGAGGACTAGGGACGGGGATATAGTTACAGATAATCACTACAAATCTGCCTGGTGTATGTGGGGCCACTTTAACACACAATAGGCCAGCTACAGATACCGCCTTGCCCTCTCCCCTCCCTCAGAGATATCCTATTTCACCAGTTTGTTGGAGTAAGTTTTTTTTTATTTTTCCCCTAGACAGAAGGTGATGCTTGCTATGTAAAAACTTTGTGAAGCAGGTGATGGGTTTTTAAATGGCTACATTATTCCTGAAGGAGCTTTCAGTGGTTAATGACAGGAGAACATTTGTTCCTGTGTTATAACCAGGGCCCTAGGTAGACGTACATATAGCTGACAATTAGTCTTAAGAGCTAGGTAGTCGGCCCACCTCTACACACAGGAGTGAAGCCATTACCCTCGTTTGGCTAAAGATGTAAAATTAAGCTCAAATTTCATTGACTTTTGAAAGTTATTAAGCTTTTAATGATTTGTAAGTATGTATTTCCCTTCCATGTTTTCTTTCAAAACCTAAATGCCGGAGTTATTTATTCTGTTTCTGATCTTGATTAATACCTTTTTATCATCTTCTGATTAATAGGCACCTTTTATCATCTTTTGATATGCCATAATGATAAATTAAGCGCAGGATTCAAGGTGGGTTTTATTCATATAAACATTCAATTTATATTACTGTACAAATCTAATAAAACAAGTTTGAAATAAAAATTTGACTTAGTAATTTTCTTCATTTTTTTTTAACAATATGTTATTTCAGGACTTCTAGGTTATTTAATGTTACACCAAACTTATCTCAAATGATTAATAGGTGTTTTGTAGGATAAAAAATACTAATCATGATAAATGATAAATAAAGCTGTAAAGTTGTAGTGAATCAACACACTTATATATAGTTTCATTTTTTAGATCTTAAATATGGTGTAATATATATGTCCTGAAATAAGTCATTGTTGACCTTAACTGTTTGCTTTGTACTGGATACCCTCGGACCCCCACTATGCCCCCCCCCCCTTCCCCCCTACTACAGCTAACATTTCTCCAGGTCCAACCACTGAATCCCCACAAACCTCCTCCCCTCTCCTCCCGCCTCACCCAAATCCCCTACGAACCTCTCCCCTATCATCTCCCTGAATCCCCACAACCCTCCTCCCCTCTCCTCCTGCCTCCCCCAAATCCCCTACGAACCTCTCCCCTATCATCTCCCTGAATCCCCACAACCCTCCTCCCCCCTCCCCCCGCCTCACCCAAATCCCCTACGAACCTCTCCCCTATCATCTCCCCTAAATCCTCAACAACCCCCTTCCCGAATCCCCCCTGAATCCCCACAAACCTCCCCCCCTCTCCTCCTGCCTCCCCCAAATCCCCTACGAACCTCTCCCCTATCATCTCCCTGAATCCCCACAACCCTCCTCCCCTCTCCTCCTGCCTCCCCCAAATCCCCTACGAACCTCTCCCCTATCATCTCCCTGAATCCCCACAACCCTCCTCCCCTCTCCTCCTGCCTCCCCCAAATCCCCTACGAACCTCTCCCCTATCATCTCCCCTAAATCCTCAACAACCCCCTTCCCGAATCCCCCCTGAATCCCCACAAACCTCCCCCCCTCTCCCCCCGCCTCACCCAAATCCCCTACGAACCTCTCCCCTATCATCTCCCCTAAATCCTCAACAACCCCCTTCCCGAATCCCCCCTGAATCCCCACAAACCTCCCCCCCTCTCCCCCCGCCTCACCCAAATCCCCTACGAACCTCTCCCCTATCATCTCCCTGAATCCCCACAACCCTCCTCCCCCCTCCCCCCGCCTCACCCAAATCCCCTACGAACCTCTCCCCTATCATCTCCCTGAATCCCCACCAACCCCCTTCCTGAACCCCCACTGAACCCCCACTCCTCCCACCTCGCCTATCAGCCCCCCTGAACCCCCCCTCCTCCCACCTCGCCTATCAGAAGCATAGTTGTGCCCTTTCTGGCTGTACATGCCAAATTACTACAAAAACATATCAATCTTGTAGCCATTTCCGTCTTCTAGAATTAAAACGGATTCAATTTCAAATGCTGTTTTTGCACTTTATACCGCCCCTGATTCAATGAAATCTAGAATTATAGGTGCATATTGCAAGGTTATACACGGCTCTGCTTCAGTTTCCAACATATCATGTCGAGTAATCTCGGTAAAAAGATAACAAAATTGTTTAATTT